GCGCAACACGTCATCTGGTTTATATACAATGCTATCGTGTAACATGAAGATCGCTAAAACACGAGCGCCAAAACGCGTCATTGGATCTGCGGGAAATTCGTGGTTAATTTTTGGTTGATACAAGATTATACCGAGACAATGTACTGGCCAAAATTATATTACGAAAACTGTATTCTTTCTTACCGAAAACTGCCTGTAACTTCGATAGCTATAAGCAGCAAAGAGAGTGGACAAACTTTGGTGCATACCATCGTATTTTATCAATCTCTTTTCCATCTTGTATTTCTTCATGCTTCCTAATTTAAACAAAATAAAAAACTTACCAAAATAGGCATAACCAAAACATAATATAAAAATATAAAATTTTTTTACTAATTAGAGTAATTTCTACAGGTTTTGGTTTTGGTTTGGATGGTGTTGGGTTATTAGGATGGATAGTCTTGGGGGTGGCAGGGACGATGATTTCTGTGGTGGTTAAGACTAAATCCTGCGTGTGATTAAAGACAAATTTTGTGGTTTAATGTGATAAGCTTCTACAATTTTACCAATTTCTGTGAAATTCCGTGATGCCATTTTGTAGTTTCTGCGATTTAATGCGATTAAATTTTTTTGGGGGTTTTTTTTTTCCAAAACATAATTCCGTCAAATATACGTTGATTTACTGTCTACTTTCCCGGACGACCTGATATTCTGCGCTACTTTTTAGAATTCTGTGATATTCTGCGCTACTTTTTTTAAATTCTGTGATATTTTGCGGTGAATAGGCTGCGTTTAAGAAAAATTCTACGGTTTTCTGTGAACTACTTGGCTTCTTTGTATTATTAAAAAAATTTTTAATAGTAGCAGTAGATTTCTATATACAGTAATAAATATAAACTTTCTTAAACTGTTTATTCAATTTCTTATATTTTATGTTAAAAGTTCGTGATGTGAAATTATTAAATAAACATTTAATAAAACAAGTTAGAATTGCTAAAATTTAATGTGAAATAATAACAAATTTAGATAAGTTAGCAATTTGGACCAAAAAATGCATTTACATTAAGCAAACGTGGTGAAATTTACAGATAATTTCTGAATAATAAATAATCACATAATAGTAATGAAATATGACATGTTAAGTCTAGATATTTTTTACTTTATCACGATTGGGATTTAAATTTGGCATTTGCATTTCGAATCTTTCATTAAATTTTAAAGCATTAGGTTACATAAAAGGGAGTGCGCGTTATTTCGGAACGCTGTTAAAGAGCGGATTTTGGGTGACTAGTACTCAAACCTAAAGCAACAAAAATCAAAGGCGAGAACCAAGGATCCTACTGTCACCAGGATCCCGGAGTTTATTGTTAGATAGTCTTTATTATTATAATCACTTCAGATACATGAAATCGAAGGTTATTTATACATTACAGAAAGCTTTAGGGATCGATTAAAATCTCTAAGCAATATGACTATTTAGAGTAATCTATGACTAATGAATAATTCATACTCATTTATATGAATTTAGTTCCCACCATAGAGGCGCCTTACTATTGTTCTTCAATGGAGCTTCGCCTCAAGCCAAACCCGAATTGGCATTTATTAAATTCCTTCGCTTTTGTCGATCAATGCGCATTAAGGTCCCGAGTCTTATGGCTTAGATCACGTTTTTTTGCTGCGGCTGGGTCACGTTACCCCTTCACTATTTTGAATTTTTTTAAGTCAAAAATTAACACTTCTACACACAGGTCAAATTTAACAATTTGAATATATAACTTGAATATCACTCGATGTGCCCCTCAATTTTGTAAACCTTTGTAAATTTAGAATGCTCAAACATTTTTCTCAATGTGATTAGCTAATGCTAGAGATCATGCACAAGTACCGATTACTTGAAGTAATCCTTACTGAAAATTCATCTTATCACTCGTTGATAATGCTTAAATTGTTACATTTTGAGGTTACAAAAATCACATCGCATTTCAATATTTACATATGATATGTGACCATTAAACACCATGCTGTGAAAAGTACATACGTATGCTATCTCTAAACTTGGTATCTCTTACTGCATTTAATTTAAACTCCGAGCTCTTTAGTATTAAACCCCTATTTATAAAAAAAATTAATTGTTAGATTTACAATATTATATATTAATCATTTAAATTTTATATACTGTAGTAAATATTATTTAACAAATAAAAATACAAAACTTTAATTTTTATTTTTTATATGTTCGTATAACCTGACATACGTAGTCAAAAAATTTACCACCTGAACTACGTGACAAATCGTGCAATATTATTTTATTTATTATTTAATTAGATTTATAAAACATCAAAATTTATCATTACGTTGTGTAATCGTAATTTTCATTTTGGAATTCGTTAAAGCGGGTATATGCTGTACAAATTATATATTCTTGATAATATAAATGATCTATATATGAATATATCAAAAAAAAAATTTAAAAAGATAACCCATTCTAGCGATCTCGCTTATTTCAAAATAGTCTATCCTGTAATGTCTGATCGGACATAGCTACACATCAATAGAATTTTTTTAAAAAAAAAATTAGTCATTAACAAAAAAAAAAAAAGGTTAAAAGTGGACAACTTACGTAGCATCTATTTGAGTAAGCTGAGGTAAATAGGTTTTCACTTTGAGTCTATATAAAGATTGATATTCTTTTTGTAAAGGGTTCCCTTCCAGATAAACTGTTGTCAACTTTTCAAGGTGTGAAAGTTGTGACGAAAGATCTTCAAAATCAGTAATATGATTATAACTAGCCTATAATGATATAAAAGTAATAAAATAATTAATTAATAATAAATATTTGATTTAAAACGACAATGAATTAATATTCACCCAAAACTCCTCCAAATTTTCCAGGTGTGCAATATTTTCAATCTTCTTTATATTGTTATTACTAATATCGATTACCCTTAGTTTCATCTATAAATAAAAGTGATCAAATAGATAAATTTTTAATAAAATAAAATAGAAAAATAAAATAGAAAATAAAATATATACATTATTTTCAAATCCTTCAAGTTCATTTATGCCATTATGGCTCAAATAAATCTCTTCCAAATTAATAAGTCCTTCTAGCCCTTTTATTTGAGTCAACCGATTACTTTGAATACTTAAAATCTTGAGATTTTTTAAATTTTCCATATTCTGTTAGGAAAAAATAAATAATTTAACATTTGTAGATACAAAAAAAGCATCGAAATTTGTAAAAGTAAAACCTGCAACTCTGTGATTTTATTCTTGCCAAGCCAAAGTTGCTCTAAATTGACAAGACTATCCAAATTTTCTATGACCTATAAAGGAAGTGTTATTGTGAAGATAATTCAATTAATCGAAAAAAAAAATGCAAGTTTTTAAATACCCGAATGCGATTTCCGCCCAACTCCAAATTGATTATATTTATAAGTGAATCCAAATTTTGAATAATGGTTATTTTGTTTTGAACAAAATATAAGTTTTTTAAACAAGTAAGCTCTTCTAAATTTTCAATCACTTTGATTTTGTTATAAGACAGATCTAACGATCTGACAACACAATCCATATTCAACATCTTGTTAATTTAAAATAAAATATTTAAAAACTTTCTTTTTAATACTTACACTAAATTTTTTAACATTTCTAAATTTTCAATATATGATATTCGGTTATCATAAAGGTCGAGATCCTCCAAGTTCGTCATAGTTTCATAGCCTTCAATTTTAGTAATAAGATTTTGTCGAAGACACAATTTCTATAAATAGATCAATGAAGCTGATGTTAATTATAATTACATAGATCAAAAGAATGATATTACATAGGGCTTTTATTTACCTTTAAATTTTGAAACCGCGCAAGATCTAAACTAGATAGGTCTTTAATACGCAAATGTGTTAATTCGATTTCCTTAAAAAGAATTAAATCAGCCAATGACTTCAAAATGTATCTTGAATGACAAACTCATCGTTAAATTGGGTATACCTCTGCGTCGTCTTCATATTCCCCAAGAATGTCAACTATTAATAATTTAAGACTGTTTGTTTAGCTGATCGTAAAATGGTAGGAGTACATGAAATCAATGAATCCTAAAAACGTATACGAGTGACATACTGTCATCTTGATCCGCTTCAGGAGTCTCGTTTTCATGATCATTGTCTACCTCGCTATGATCAGAGATCACCTGTTCGGACATATTCGTTTATAATTAAAGCTATAAAGCCAACGTTCGTTTAAACGGTAAAACTACTAGCATATATATACTAAACATGTAAAATTTATCATATGATCTATGTAAATCACCCGATAACTGATATATATGTTTATATATTATATATCGATATGTAATTATTACGTATAAAATTAATAACTGTAAATGTATATATATATCGTTGATCAGCGGATCACGAATTAAACTTTATTACTCTCGGGTTTACTGAGTTTTTGAACTGCATCTACAAGTTTTTTTAAAACGTCTTTCACATATCTCAGACGATTTTTTTCTGTTGCATGATCACCTCTTAATATCTCAGAAATTGTATATGTGTTAAGTCCACGTGCTTCATCGATATAAGTTATTACTCGACCTTCTTCTGAAAGAATGATCTTCTCATGATCAAAGAAATTTACCTTAAATCACCATTTTATATAATATATATTATTATATGTGTCATATTTTTACTTGTGAAAAAATAAATATTACAAACCTGCACTAAATGGTTACTTAACCTAAATAGAACAGCATGAGGCGTGCGTTTATATTTTGTCAAGAATTCCATATTATGAGTTCTATTGTTGTCAACAAATGTGTAAGTAGGGCTTATTTTTGGAAGAACTTCATTCATACTTGGAAGAGCTTCACTCATATAATTGCGGAAATTCTGTAACAGATAAAACTTTTTATTCAAATCTTGCGGGTAATCATTTACTGTATAGGGTTTACGCGTCGGCACTATACAATTTGCTGATGTTTTATTGTAAATATACTCAAAATTGCTAATAATAAGAATATATTTCAATTAGTAATTATAAAAGACTACAATTTATAAACCAAAATCACATACCACCCGTTGGGAGACATTATCAATGTAGTTTTATCATTGAAATTCACACCAACAGAACCGTCTGTCAACTGGTATCCAAGTCCATACTTATTAGTATAGTCCATCCATTTGCTAATAAACACGAGTGGTGTTGTAGGCGGTTCTAATAATGAATATTTGTATTAAAACTAAAAAAAAAAAACTTAAAAAAAATACATATGTATATATATAAACTACTAACTATCATCGAAAACATGCGGTAATGACTTCTTTCCT